GCTTTGTGCTTACGGTTTCATTTTATTGTTTTAGGTGCTTTGGATATTTTGGCAAGGCGAAGGCGTGACCGTACACATCCTCGTGTTTTGGACTTATGGTTTCTGGAAAACTCTGATAATGTGAATGTTTTGAAAACTATGTGTAAATGATTTCGGTTTTAAATAAATGTTTTGGAAAGAACGGGTTTTTAAACACCTCTTTAATAAATGGGTTGTTTTGAAAGTTTTTAATTTTATTGAATTTTTTTGGGGTGTTACACCTTTAGCTTGTCCCATTTCAATGTCATCAAGAAATAAATCCAAAAACCATTTCCACGTTGCCTTCTTTTTTACTACAATAACATCCCATGCTAGAGGATATAGTTGGCTATTAGCATCCCTACCAACAACTAGCAGTACCTCACCTCTACAAAGACCATTTAAAAAACACCCATCTACACCAATCACCCTTCTACACCCCTAAATCTAACAATCTTTCACAATCTACAAGTAAATATACATCTTTGAAAAATGGATTGGGGAATCAAGCATGATATCCACATCTAATTTGATTGTTGAACCTGGATTAGCAATCAATAGCTCCAAACCATAACTCCTAAGTTTTCATAATATGCCACCAAACTCCCTTATCTCATCCAATGTAATTTTTTTTGGCATTTCTACACTGCCAAACACTAACTTTTAGATTAAAATTTCTAAGGACTACTACTTTCATTTTCTTGTAACTGATTATTGGATTATCTAATATGTTTTCGATTAAGTGTTTTCCAATACAACTATATATGACCATTGCACCTAAACTGAAGGCTCTAAAATAGTTGTTTTCAAATATTAATGACTTAATATGAAATGATATTTCTTTACTCATCCAAGTTGCCCATAATCTAAAAGGGCATTCAGACTTTTTTTTCTTTTTTTTCGCAACATTTGACTAATAATCTAGTTGAATAATTTTTTTCATACCACACTTTATACCTATTAGCAACAACATAATTGCTTAACATGTGCTTAAGTTAAAAACGATCACGAAATTTCATACCTAAGATTTGTAACACCTGATTCAAATTACTTTTTTAGTTCAGACCCTGTATGTGTTAATGTTTTGTTGATTTGGTCCCTAGGGGGCAAAATTGCCAACTTCAGGAAAGTGGGAGTACGTTGGGCGTACTCCTTATACGCTGGGCATACTAGTGCATTAGGATCGCGCCTTTGGTCTACGTACGTTGGGCATACATTGAGTATGCATGGCGTACGTGTGGTTAACGAAACCCTAATTTTTAGGGTATTGCACCCTATTTAAGCCTTATGATAGCCTCATTTGGTCATGTTTAGACAGCCTCCATCCCCTATTTTCTAGAAATTGAAACCCTAGTGTGTTCTTGAGAGATTTGAGCCATTAAGTGTACTTATGGGTGCTTTGTGAAGGAGAAGAAGTGAACCATTTAGAGTTGTGCTTGGAGCTTGAGGATTCAGGATTAGTTCATCATTTGCTATCCATGTGAGGTAAAAAGATCCCATCTTGCTAATCTATGATGCTAGATCTTGTTTTAGTTCCATTTTGTGCTTTTTGAGTCCTTGCAATGATTGTTGAGCCTCTTGATTCACTCCAAAAGTGATTGATGGTAGATCTAGGGTTCTGTGGGTCCCTTTGTCCATAAAAATGCAAGCTTTGGGGTGTTTATGGACTCATGCATGTGTTAAGACCCTTTGTCAAGTTCTTTTGAGCTTTAGAACCCCATTAAGCCATACATGCACGTAAAGTTGCCAAATTTAAGTGATAAAATACCTTAAGGAAGTCAGATTTGAGTGTTGGGTTGAAGTCTTAACCGATTAAGAGCTTAATGATAGAAGTTGGCCAAGCTGGGGAGTACGCTAGGCGTACAAGCTGAGTACACCCTGTGTACTCAACAATGGGCTTTAGAATTATGGGCTTCTCAGTATTGAGCCCATGTTGGACCTTAGTAGTCTTGGGCCTTGTTTGGCCCTTAAATTCTATCTTTGGGCTGATGTTATTTTATTGGACTCTTTAGTTGAAGCCCATGAAGGGATTTAGGCCCAATTTAGAAAATTGGGCCATATTTGGGCTTTGGGTGATTATTTTTGGATTTTGGGCCTTGGCCTTGGGCTAAGTTAGGGAAAGGGTAAAAAGGTTTTTTACCTTAGTTTGGACTCTTAGTGTGAGTCAGGATCCAATTATTAATTGGATGTTATTTTGTGATTATAGTGCAAGGATTTTAACGGGCTAGCAGTCAGAGATTTATCTGTGAGATTCAACAGTCTAAGGTGAGTTTCCTCACTGTGTTTTGGTGGGTCGAGGGCACCAATGTCAGCCCATGTTTTATTATCTTAGGATGCTAAATGTTGCGTGACTCTTGCATGTGTATGCATTGGTATGTATACCGAGCGGGGCTCGCTGTCAGGTGAGGCCCGATGACTGTATTGTTTGCTATTATCTTTGTGATTATCGCACGTGTTAATAGGATTATGTGTTTGTACGTTGGGCGGGCCCCATTATGCGAGTTAGGGTGAGGCCCGTTATACTCAGTGGGTGGGGCCCGTTATGCTAGTTAGGGTGAGGTCTGTTACACTAATTGGGCGGGGCTCGTTGATTGACATATATGTATGCCGTGTAGGGTCCTTTTGTGTTTGTTATGTATGGTATGGGGTACTTTGGGGAACTCTAAGCTTTGGGCTTACTGTTTTCAGTTTATATTTCAGGTACTTCAGGAATGAAAGGGAAGAGCCCGAGATGATTGCAGAGCACACACCATTTTTTCCGCTTTTTGAGATTTACTCTGATATGATATGATGTATTGATATATTTTTGGGTTGTATGACAATGTTTTGGATTATTGTTTTTATAAAATTAAAAATAAAATTTTTGGGTTTTATTTTTGGGACGTTACAAGATCGGTACCATAGTATCCCATTGTTGGTTAAGATCATGACCATGAAACTAAGGAATATTTGACTTGGCATCTTTCTTATCATCTACATCATCATCATCAGTATGACCATATGTGGATCCATCTTTAGCTATCTCTTCTTCAATCCGCTCGATAACTTGTTCCTGCCTATGATCAATGTACTCTTCCATCATTCTCATATCCAACATCAAGAAAACATACATAATCATTTTCATCTGTAAAGTCTCTCAACCTATCTCTTAGTGAACGATGTGGAAGACAATAGTAGATAATGATTATTCCATCATTTACCGGGTTCTTTACATAAAAAAATAAATTATGTGAAGCTCATGCTTCTAAAATCAACATTAGTAACAAGCACTTTTACGGGATTGAAATAAACAATAGGTTTGGGGACAAAAGAACTTATATGATTAACTTCGATTGTCAGGTGCTCCTGCATCGATGTTGAAGCCATTATCGTCGTTTGTTGTATCCGTTGTGGAAGGACAAATGAGCAAACCCTAGGTATTTTCAATTTGGGTGAAATAATGACGGGGAATGCCATGTATTATCCTCGTATATCTTATATTACTTAAAAAAAAAAAAAAAAAAGAAAACTTACTTGATGTTACCTATAATACCCGATAATATGATATTTTTTGTATTAAAAAAACAATAATTTTTTTTTATACATTTTTCAAATTTTGTAACATTTTTAGTTCATTTCCCATTATCTTTTAAAGGTATATTGATTGTATGATTTCACTATATCTCAAAAAGTGTAACATTTTTAGTTCATTTCCCATTATCTTTTAAAGGTATATTAGATTATATGATTTCACTCTATCTCAAAAGTATACACGGTATACGAGACAGGATTTTAGTTGCTTCTGAAAAGATGAACTCTCCTCCTTGATTCTTCTCTACGAATTCTTCTCAAAAGCCCACAGTCTCTTCTTTTCTTTTCTAAATCACGAAATCAACCAATCTTGCGCACATCTCGCTCGATCGCACCATTCTGAAAGAAAATTTCTGTGTAAAACCCATAAAATCGCCAGTCGTGGGCTGATCTTCACGCTCAAATTTTGCACATCCAAGTTTATACATTATTCGGTTCTTGCATACTCGTCTAAGGTATGTGATTGTTAATGCTTCCTTACGTTTTATGCTTAAATTTTTTACTGGATTCGTGGTAGGTTTGTTGGGAATTGGGATGAAGCTGAAAAGTGAAAAATGATATTTTTAGGGCTTGGTTGAGTTTGGTTCTCGCCACGAACTTTCTTGAATTTTTTTTATAATTAAAACCCGTCAACAACACTTTGAATATTAATATTTGGAAGTGGTCCATGTAACAAAGTTGATTTTACAACCACAATACCCAACTAGTATTATACCTTTTTTTTCCTAGCAAAAGTTTTCTTGTTTCAATTTTTCTGATACAAAAGGCTAACCTTTTTTTTTGTCCTTTTAAATGCTAAATTGCACTAGGTAGTTTCCTTTTTGAAAGTTTTAAAGTACTTGTCATTTGTAATAGAGGTAGAAAGATACTTATCTTTTATAATTTATAACATATATATAGCAACATATTTATCATTTTTAGTAGAAATAGCCACACAATGCTCATTTTCTTTTACAGAAATAGCAATGTACTGATCCTTTTTAACAATAATAACAACATACTTGTCATCTTTAATAGCTAAAGGAATGTATTTATGATTGTTAAAATAATAGCAACGTACTTATCATTCACAACCACGTGTTGTTTTTCTTTTAAAAAACTTGAAAATACAATGTGTATTCTTATTTCACCGAGTCACAAAGGATTAAAAAAAATAGTACATTCTTATTTCACCAACTATATCCAACACATTCTTCAGTAAACCTGGATCAAATCTGGAAGGAAACATAGAAATTAATTGAAATAATACCCTTGATTATTGAACTGAATTTTTTTGATGTATTTGCTTCAGATTTGATCAAATCAACTGAGGCCACGTGGTTATCAGAAGGAGATTAACGCTAAAAGATGACAGATGATGAAAAGCAAATAAAAACGGAGCAACATGCTCACGTTAAAAAACAGCAACCGGAATGGATACCTGGGTATACACTTTCCCAACATCCGGAAGAGATCCGACAAGCATTATTCATGAGAAAAACCCGTCTGTCTCTATTGAGAAAAAAGTGAAAATGGAAGATTTTGAAGACTACGATGTCATGGATCCGATTTACAGAATGGGGTGGGGTGGCATCTTAGAGTTCGAATCAGATATCTGCTACACGCAACCCGTAATAGATTGGATATCAACCCTTCAACGCCATGGTGATGGAGCATCCTTAGCCTTAACCGGTATAGTTAGTGGAAAACAATACACACTTACCCACGACAAAATCAGGCAAATGTTCGGTGTTGACACGGGTATTAGAGGAGAACCGGGTCGGGCTTACGAATATCCAGATGAGAGTTATCTGGAGCCCTCGAATCTTGAAACCCAAGATTGGATTGATCGATTGCAGGAGTTGTTCTTTCTTCCTCCTGACACATTCAAATACACGTCATCGGGGAAAGCGGATCTAAAGCCACAAGCGAAGGTTTTGTGGGGAGTAGGTGTTTGGAATATTTTTCCTAGAGAGGCCGGGTATGAAAGTAAATTTCGGGTTCGTGATATTTCAATTTTATATGGGCTTATTTCAGGGAGAGTGGCTATATCGTATGCGCACTTGGTGATGTTGAATTTATGGGCTACTTATGAGAGCGCATATAGGTCTAGTATCCCTCATGGATACCTCTTGTCTACATTTTTACACAATGAGGGTGCTATTGATATGGATATGGAAGCCCATAGGATAAATATAGAACTTCGGACCTTAACACAGCAGGATATCCCTAATCTCGTGTTTTCACTGGAACCCCCGTTCCATATCAAAGATTGGCAAAACCGAACATTTGTCGCAGATTTTGAACCGGAAGAGAGACAGATAGTTGAGAGAGAAAAAGCCGAGAGAGTTAGAAGAAGAGATGGAGTGCAAGAACAAGAACAAGAAATTCTAAACCTCAAAAAGTCAGACCACTTGGTTGAAAATGTGTGTGTATTGATGGATTTTGGAACTTTTTTCGTACAATTCCATATTATCAAACTATAAATAACGTTATGCATTTTATGTGATTTGTATCCAGGCACAACTTGTGTTCGAGGCTACAAGGTGAAGAACAGCTTAGCGCCAATTCTTGAAGCCGTTTTCATGAAGCATGGTGACATAGCAGCTGAATGTATATTCAAAACAGCTTCCGTGAGGGCATTTTTCCTAGGGCTTGTTTGCGAAGTTGTCATGCAGCTTCAAACAAATGATGATATGGCTATAATTTCTAAGATGGAGGAAATGGAGACCGATGTCTCAGAGGTAGAGGCAGCTAACATTCATGTGTCGTGGCTTCGATCTCACTTGGAAGCCAGGAAAACGTCAAGTTTGATGATGGAAACGGAAGCAAAAACGATTATGCTTAAAAAAGCTGCTAAAATGGAGGTGAGAGAGATGCGTACAGAGTTCATGGCTGCAAAACAACGGCTTAAAAAGGCTAAAAGGTTTGTAAAAGTACTGGGTCTTGTACACAAGAAGCTAAAAACCAATATCCACCAGGGTCACACCCCTACTTTGTTATAGGTTAATCATATGGGGTGTGGATAATAGAAGATTCACCAATCAGCAGGGTTACCCTTATTTTGTCAGGTTGCATGAGACCCTTTTTGTTTAGAAAAAATTGATAAGTTTGTATTTAGGCTTCTCAAAATACTTGGATTAATTTAGCCTGTTTTTTCATGCTCCTTCTGATCATGAGTCTTTCATGTGCTTCCTAGAAAGCTAAGATTCTGAACTTCTATTTTGAACTACTTGATTATTGTTCATAGATTTTCTTTTGGTGATGCTGATTATCACTCAAATGTTTGTGTAACTATTTGATGTTTGCATCCACTTCACATTTTTGCTTGTGAAAGCTTGAAAAATATTGAAATTCCAAGTAAAGATAATGTTTGAATGATCGTCAAAATAATTTACATTTATTATAATTACTATGGTTGATAAGTCACATTTTAATGCTTAATTTTTTTTACCATGATAAGAAAGAGATTTAATTATAAATTTACAAAATAATTTTTTTATTAAAATGAATATTTTACAAATTAATGGATATTTTAATTAAATTAAAATGAATGTTTAAGAAGGGACAATGAATAATGAATTATGAGGTAACAAATTTTTTATTTTTGTTCATAATTAGTCAATTTCTTTTTTGTGTACATGATTTACAAGTAAGTTTATTTGTTGTGTTCAAAAGTACCCTTATGATTTGCAATAACCAATCATAATATTTTTCAACACACAAAAATAAATAAATCATTAGTTAATGGTGTTGACAAAAGTGACTAAAAAGATACCTTCTTGACCCACATTGTTCACCTCTGTTATATTTTTATAGTATTCATAATTATCCTTAAATATTGATGGTTTACCATCATTAACCAAAAGGATACCTTCTTGACCCACAATACTAAATGTACCAATCTTGTATGTAGGTTCAACATTTATGATGGTTAACATATTCAAAAGGATTGGTATGAGAAACCAACATATAGGATACTTCCAACCGATCGATTTCCACGAGATCCCTTATAACCTAAACAACACCATACAACATTACAATATGTGGATACATATAATGAACAACAGAAAAAAATACTCTTTTACCTCGTGATCGTCATTTATATAAAAAACAATGCCAATAAACGGATATTTGTAGGATACTTTGATATGATTATTCACTACAAGTAATTTTCTAGACACCAAACTAATCAATCCAATATAGTTTATACACATGTAAATTCGAAGTGTGATTATTGTTAACATTCATTGGCATATACTCTCAAACTCCATTAATATTCTCCCACAATCCTCGGATACAAAAATGTAATATAACACCATCGTTTGGTGGATTCATGATCGGTTCCAAGATATATGAAGATAAAGATGTTAGAATAGTAGATTAAAAGAAGAAATTCGTAACATGAAATACTATTATTATATTTTAGAATGATCTTCATTCAAAAAAATTACAACCATGCGAGTTTAATATGTATCGCGGACCATTTACATAGATAAATGAATAATGTGAATTTAGAAACAATAATTTTTTTTGTATTTTGTAAAAAGAACCCAACAAAAATACTTTTGTTAAAAAAAAAAACAATATCCAAACTTACAAACGATAACATTAAATACAAATACATTAAATTCTTTAGCAAAAATAGGTGAAAGATATTATGTCGTGATCCAATATAGTTATATAGTTGATAAAGGAGAGGTGTTAGTCTAGGAGCAAGTGGATGATTGCAAAACAATATGGGCAATTAGGATATGTACGTATAGTCGTATATGTAACGCAACATCCAACATCTATTTTTACAACAACAATTTTTTTTCCAACACCTTTTAATAACCCTATTAGGATTAGGCCTTGTAGACGACTCTTTGATATGTACAGAAGGTTGATTGGGTCCCTTTAACGTAGTGAAATTCTCACTCAAAAAAGGTGTATATAGACAAAAGGTAGAGGACCATACATATGTTAATAGATTTTTTTTTGGCTGTTTGAAATGTACCAAACTCTTTTTAGCTATTGAAAAACCAACAAATTAACAAGTCAATTTGATAAACACTCAATCTTTTTCATTGAAAAAATAAAATTTAGATTTAATCTAAAAAACGTCTTTTTGCTTTTTAACTTATTAGTTTTAAGCATATGCCAACACCTTTATAAAGAAAATGGTTTTTGTTATAAAGCTCGGTTATAAACGTCACTTGCGGGATTCAAATTTTGTTAGGAATTAGAATCATATATTGACGAATTTTAAGGAAAGTTTGCATATGAATCAAAGTTGTGGGTCGATTTGAGGTCCCCAGGTTAGAGAATATCAGGGGATTTCTCGGTTTTCATGCTCTTTGAGTGGACTGCTGAAGTCGATTCCTAAAATGGCGTCCAGATTGTCTGTTTTTTCTGGCATTCAGCCCGAGAACGTGTTAATGGACGTGGTACGGAGGCTATTACCTCTGCCCTCTTCATGTCCCGAGCTTCTTGATGTTCTTGCAGTAAGGGGTTTTCCCGCCATATAATTTCCTTTTTATTTTGTAATTAATGATGTTAGTAATCTTGAATTTGATGGTTTTTATATAGATTGTCAATTAATTCATGGCGTAAGTTGTTTTCTGCATAGGTTCTTATGATTTTCATTGTTCAAGCTACTCGAGACATGTTTAATAAATAAATTAGGGTTTTCCTCGAAATTTTAAAGATTATCCAGTAGGCTACATACATTACAATCCTACTCATATTTCATTGTTACAGTTAACAAGTTTCAAGTGTATTCTTCTTCGTAGCACATGGAGCAAAATTTATCCTGGGTGAACCAAATGCCATCGGAATCAATGAAGTATGCAATGCATCCAATAGCGGAGGCACTGATTGCTAAAGAACTAGTCAAACATCATGATATGGATGTGAACATCTCAGTTGTATGCTGTAACTGTGAGATTTTGAGAATTATGGCACCGAATCCCCCTTACAATGACAATCAACTGAAGGTTCTAGACATCTGAATGAGTTTTGGTTTAACATGTGGGAACTTTCTATACAACTTTCAAGTAACTGTTGTCTTTACTCTTTACTGTGTGTTGTTGTGCAGGATTTTTTTGAACTGACAACAATGACATTTGAGAAACTATCTTCTTCATCAGGTGGATGCTATACTAGGATGACTAAAGTTCTCAAAATATTTAGGAAAGCCAAATTTCCATTGCTGATGTTGGACCTGAAGATAGACAAACTAGTAGTTCAATTATTCAAACAGTTTCTAACAGTTGCTGAGTAAGTTGTAAACTTGCAACTGGTTTCTTAGAAGTGAACTTTTGATTTACTTCTTTTGTTATAAACCAACAAATGAATTTCTTCTTTGTGCTTATGCATGTTAAGCTTCAATCCCCCTGTTGTTGTACTTGAGATGGAGATGATCATGAGCATGATCATGATCATGAAGGAATGTGATGCACCCATGGTCGAGCTTGTAGAACTCCTAGTTATGAGTGTGAGAAATTCTAATCAGGTGAGGTTAACCATAATACCATATTAGGTTCACTAATTACATCATATCATATGCTAGAGTTTTTGTTGTTTGTTTCTCTTGCAGATTGATTTGCATGTTTGTTGGCAACTTGGGGAAAATGTTCTTAAGAACTGTGTTACTCAACTCAAATCACATCTCCCGGGTTTTGTACGCAAAATGGGGATTCCTCTTCAAGATTACTCTAAAATTGTTGGACAAATTTGTAATGGCATCCACTTTGAAGATGAAAAGAAAACCCTCTTAATTTCCAATGATTCAATAATGTCAACCAAGTCAAAAACAGGGGTGAAGGGAAAATGTAAGAGAAAGTGCAATTCACCAAAGAAAAAGGTAATGTCGCCTGCTTTTGGAAACTATTCTAATTCTTCAAAAACAAACATGAATCCCTCTTCAAGAAGCTACATTGGAAGGTGGTTGAAAACGTGTGTGTTATTTGTGTGCTTTTGTACATTTTGGAAAAGGCTTTTGACACAAAAGCCCTTAAGTCCGTTTTTATGTTCATTAATGTCTAAATTTTACGAGTTTTTTTTTGTTAAACTTTTGCCCTTGCTACCTCTGATACCATGAAAATTGAAATACAGTTCGCAAGAAAACCCTTAAGTTTCCAAATCTTTTACGTTTTCATCCTAAGTATGTTTTCTTCATATTATATGTATTCATGCAGAAAAAACTTTTTTATACATGAAAAAATATTTAATTAATCATTGTATTTAGATTTTTTAAATAATATTTCTCTGTATATGGGTTCCGTTTTTTGCCTTTTTATATGGTTTAAAACGTAAAAAATATGTTTTTTGATGTATAAATACGTATTTTTATGTATTTAGATACATGTACATATTTTTTTAAAGTATAAATATGTATTTTAATATATTTTAGAAATATTAATATGTATCTATACTTCTAATTTCTAAATACATAAAAATGTGTATTTATTCCTCTACAAAACGTGTTTATACTTCTAAAAAAGTAGTTATACTTCTAAAAAATGTAAAAATACATTTTTATACTGCTAAAATATAATTATACGTCTAGAAACGTAAAAATACATATACTTCTAAAAGACATATTAATATTTCTAAAAAAAATGTATTTACACTTCTAAAAAATCTAAAAATATGAATTTATATATATATATATATATATATTTCTTAAATGTATAAATATGCATTTTCACATTTTTAGAAGTATAAATACATATTTTTACGTTTATAGAAGTGTGTGTGTGTGTGTGTGTGTGTGTGTATATATATATATATATATATATATATATATATATATATATATATATATATATATATATATATATAAACACGCTTTTAATTGATATACTTCAAATAGTTGTTTATACTTTATACTTCTAAAAACATGTTTTTATGTATTAAACCATATAAATAGGAAAAAAAAAATTATCGTATACAAACTACAAAGAAATATCATTTAAAAAGAACGTAAATAAAATGTTTTTTTTGTGTGTAAATACATTTT